TTTTTTTTTTTTTTTAACTCTGGGAAAAAAATGTATAGGTTTGCCTTCAGAAAATCTTGATGACCATTAGGCATTCTCAGGATTGAGGCAACCATGAGGTTAGTAACAAGTTAGTATGTCTAGGTTATATAGACAACATTTCTTGCTGCATGGAGAAGTCTTCATAGAGAAGTAACGTCTTGTGGATTTTTTGTAGTAGTAAGTATTAAATGAGGAAGCAAAGTTCTAAGTTATACCAGGGCTCCTAGTAACATGAACCAATACAGGTAGTCCTCGACTTACAACCACAGTGACCCCAAAATTTCTGTTATTAAGCAAGGCAGTTGTGAAGTGAGTTTTGCTCCATTTTATGACTTTTGTTGCCATAGCTGTTAAGTGAATCACTACAGTTAAGATAGTAACACAGTTGTTAAGTGAATCTCCCTATTGACTTTGATTGTTAGAAGGTCACAAAAGGTGATCACATCATCCCAGGACACTGCAGCCATCATAAAAATGAAGCAGTTGCCAAGAGTCCGAATTTTTATCACTGAGCATGGGGATGCTGAAATGGTTTAAGTGTGAAAAATGGCCATCAATCATTTTTTTCAGTGCTGTTGTAACCTTGAACAGTCACTAAATGGATGGTTGTAAGTTGAGGACTGCCTATAATAAAAATGCTTCTTGCTAATATCTGTTATGCATCAGGACTAACTTTATAATTATGCACTTTGTCTCCTTTACTTGATTTATTCTCTGATGGCTATTTGGTGAAATTAAAGCGACCATGTTTTTACCTATATTAGCGGCTGGCTTAAAATTCAGCCAAAATGGCAGCATAAATTCTCTTATGAAAAATGGCAATTCTCTTGATGCTCACCCAATCTCTGTCAAATTTCGGGAAGCCTGGTTTGCATGCTTCTTTTGAATGTGTTGTCAGTTCCTAAAGTAATACTTCTTTCCACTTCCCTGTCTGCTCTGAACTTTAATTCCTTTCTCCTTTTGGCAGGATCGCTGCAGAACAGAGCAGTAGGTTGGCAAAATATAGAACGCTACGGTAAAAAGGGGGTACACTAGTGACCAGCCCTTCCTAGAAGTAAGGGTCTTTGGCTGTTCCTCTTCCTAAGCATGGTGGCTGCTTCATTTTATGCTTATCTCTGGGGTTGAGGAGGCGGGGGAGCCTTAGTAGAAATCTACTAAAACTACCTCTCTGCCTATTATGCTTCTGACCATTGCAAAAGGAACGTCTGCATGGTTTAGCTATATTTTGAATTTATTGTTTAACTCAATTATTGTTTTAACTCCATTACAGTTCCACATTATTAAAAAAGAAATCAGTTGCTAGAGAAATTGCTAGCAATGCTTAAGACTTCTAGATTTCTCTAGACTTTTCATTTTTATGTTTTCCACAACTCTTGCTTGGTCTACATACCTACCCGTATGCTGCTTTTGCTTTTGTTCTCAGTCCAGTCAATATAAAAATTAATTTTTCAGGAAGCAAAGAATCAATATTTGTGTAATTTAAAAAGTTGAGAATCTTGGGAACAAGATTTTGGAGTAAGAAGGCTAAGATAGTTAGGATCAGTTTGATGCAAATTGTTGGACATGCCTGTTTCAGTTTGTTTCATGAAGTTGGGGAGCCTGCCACAGTACCTGAATCTATGTTACCTAAGGCCCTGCATGTAATATTTTGATTTTTCTCTTTCTGCCTGTTTATTCTTGTTGGAAAAAAAGGAGCTTAGTGAGCTGGGTGGATTTTTGTCTGTTTGTTGCAGTTGCTTTTGTACTGCATATTTTATTTCTTTGTTTGTTGATTTTTTTATGCCTCAGAGTCAAGGCGGATTACAACATTTGGAGAAGCAGAAATTCAGTATAAACAATACAACATTTTGTTTAAAACATATGATGTCTAAAAATCTACTGAAGCAACAAACAGGCATCCAGCCATCCTATTACCAGTTAAAACTATGTTTAAATAAAATAGTCATCATAACTTTCTTCCAGGCCAGTCTCACATTAGTGGATACAATGTTACATAACAAGGCACCAACAAAAAAAAATACAGCATCAGCTTCTAGACTGTTCTACCTCTCCAAACATCATCTCCCTCAAAGACTTCATTAGACAGAAAAAAACAGTTTGGAGGAGCTGGTCCCAAAGGTGACTAGGAGCTGAGCCATTAAGAACTTTATAGGCTAAAACAAATATAGGTACTCCTTGCATAATGATGGTAATTGGAATTATGAATTCCATCACCAAGCAATGCAGTCAAAAAGTGCAATGTTACATGACTGTGCTGACTTACGATGGCAAATGCACCCTTCCGGTTTTGATCATTAAATGAATCCCATGTGCTCGTTAAGCACAACATCATAGGATTGCCATTTGTAATCTCCTGCTGGATTCTCCATTGACTTGCTTGTCAAAAGCGGGCAGCTAAAGTCACTAATGGCAATCATGCGACCATAGGACACAATGTGAGCTAGTTACCAAGCATGAATCACATAATGTGATGGCAGGGATGGTGTAACAGCCAAAACTGTGAAGACCAGTCATAAATCTCAAGGATCACCTTCAAAACTTTGAATGGTTGCTGAACCAGTGGTCATTAACCAAGGACTACCTGTATTTTGAATTGGATTTTGAAACCAATTGGCAACTAATGCAGTGACTCATGTCACATTACTAAAAGAATTCATACTTATTAGCACCTGGCTTCGACACTTAGGATCAAGAATAGTTTCTGAGTGATCTTCAGAAAATAATTTAAAGTACAGCATGTTCTGGTAGCCTAATTGCACGCTGTGGAATGCATGAATTACTGTTATACCTCCTGTTCATTATTCCAGGAACATCTTTGAAAGTTAAGTATATTCTAAATTAGAATAAGTTGTGCTGCTTAAATGAATTAATAAATTAGATTGCCAAGTCTTGTTTTTTTGCAGCAATATGGAATATTGGATGAAATCAAAAGAGAAGAATTATAGGTTGATAGGAGAATCTGAGTAAGAGAAGATATTACTTTGACCAATTGTTGTTCTCATTTCTGGTTTCTGCATTAAGAAATTATTATGTTTGTTTAAAATAGAGTTTTTCAGGTTACTGATTTTAATAGTACATTTCCAGATTTTGTAATTATGTGGTCACAGAAAAATATAAATTTTGCATGTACCAACAAAGATATTTTGAGATAATGTAGATTATGGATATAAAATTAAAGAATATAAATTGATATATTCTTGTCTGCAATAAGGATATAAGCATTTAGTCTTGTAAATTCCAAGTTTTACATTTTGAATCTATGTATAATGAAAGACAGATATTTGAGCTCCAGTTCTATAATTTTCAAGAATACACAGCTGTCAATTTCATAGATTACATGAAGAATTAGAAATATTGTAGGACAGTATTAGGTTGTTATTAGGTAACAAAGGGGGTTTCAAACTTTGCAGTACTACGGCCATCTAAAATATAAATGAATGGAAATGACTTAGGAGTTCATTGAGAGCCAGCTTATTGGATTGTTTAAGACATTTGGTTAGAAATCAGGAGATTGAGTTTTAGTCCCACCTTAAGCAGAAAACCAGCTAGGTGTCAGAGAGAGAGAGAGAATAAACACACTCGAACACAGAAAGAGAGATAGGATTTCACTGGGGATTAAGGTTGGGGAAGAAATTAATATACCCTCATAAAAGATATGTAACTCCTTTGATTGATCATCTTTACTTTTATTAAAGAAAAATAATTATGCATTCCAATACATGAAAGATTTAAAATTCATCCTCTCCAAACACTTCAAAGATGATGGATGTACTGCTACATACCATACTAGAAATCATCAGGTATTGGTATCCAAAGATGGCTAAATACTGGATTTAATCTTCTCTTAAAACACTGAGTTATGTTCCCCACTTTACCCACACAACATTATAAAAACTGTCCAATCTTTGCTTCTCAGCTTGTCTGCACAAGCCTGATCAGCTTTCAAATAAATAATATAATTTCACTCTTAAATGGTTGTAATTGCTAAAAACTGGATATGCCAAAGAAAACATGAAACTATTAGATGAGGAACAGTGTGGTGAAAGAAATGCTGATTATATGGCATTTGCTTTAGCCAGTATCTATTAGTGGAACTTAGTTGAAGCTCTTATCACACTGTAAGTTACAAACTGGGGATAATGAATAATTTTTTAAAATGTTCTTTTACACTATATTCCAAATAAAAATATCTAAGAATGATGTTATTTCCACTATCTCTTTATTAAAAGTAAGTAGTTATTTGGAGACACAATCTCAGTGCAATTTTACAGATGAAAATAAGTATCTGAATATATTGTTTTATATATCATTTGTGTAATGGAATTGAGTTTATGAATGTCATAATTTAAGAGCTTGTCTTGTTGTCATTAGCCATCTCCTCATCTTTTCCTTTTGATTCTAGTTGTTTTTATACTTATACACTTAAAGTATTATAAAAAGAATATTCCATTTCTTTTACAATGGGGAGATATTTGTAAGATTTGTCTCTTTTTTAGTCTTAATTTAATTTTAATGTATTCATTTGAATTGAATAGACTGTGAGTTTTAATCTCAGTCAGATGATTGACTTTGGGCCAGTAACTCTTTCAGCCCAATCCACCTTACAGGAGTGTTGTGGGGTAAGTGAGTTGTTGTAAAAATGGTAAAGGCAGCATATAAATAAATAAAATAGATCAATAGGTGAATATGTTATTAAATTTAACTTGTAGCATTATGTACACATATTAAGTGATACTCCAAATATAGTATGACTTGTAAATTCAAATATGTATTCTTTGCATTCTTCAGGTTTTAAATTTGGCATTTAAAACATTAAATTTCACTGTTCTGTTCCAAAAAGAGATAACTGCTTTATAAGTGAAGAACTCTTCCACATCAGGAATTTTAACTTTAAGGGGATTTCTTTGTGTCCTTCCAGAACACGCTAATGACAGAAGAACAGAGGAACGGGAAAAAAAACCTTAAGTAAAAAAGGAAAGGAGCCAAAGGCCAGAAACTGAAGTGTGGAAAATAATTGCCTGTAATATTAAAAAGTGTTTTTTAAGAAGAAAAATGCCCTCACATTTTGTGTTTGCTTGAATGTGTAAGTACTTTGATTTGTGGTACAACCACCTTGTCAGTCAGCAAGAACTTTAAAAACAGATGGGCTCCCAGATTGTCATTTTTTAAAAATCTTTTTTCTACCGCCTCCTTCATGAAATAAAGAGAATAAGACAAAAGGTCTAGCCAACTGCAATTTCTTTTATTATATTGTGACTTTCTAAAGCAAACATTATTAAGCTTATGCTTCAAGTAATTATAGAAGAGCATTTCCATATTTTGTGTGAAAATACAAGAAAAATTTGGATGATAAAAAGCAGTTAAAATACACTTTGAAGAATCAGAAAACCTCTGACAAATTCTTTACATGCTATCAAGACTGCATAGCAATCAAAAACTGTCCATGGTGCTGAAATCAGAAGTCAACGAATGCTTTCCATTCAGCACTTCTCAATTTAAACTCTCAGTACAATCCCCTTGTTTTAACTATGTCAGACAACTCAGTGGTGTTGATTATGGAGTCTTAATAGAATAAAATTATTTGGATATAGCATTTTGCTACAGCGGCCATTTATTTTTCAAACTGAAATGAGACTATTATACATTAAGCATTCTTATCTGGCATAAATTAAACAGGAAACAATTCCACATATAAACATCTGCTTTCAATTTTTGTCCTGTGTTTATAGAAGAAGTAATATTGGTTATCAGTGAGGTGTCCTGTTCATTTCTTTCTACATGTTTAGAAACCTTCCCCCCTCCCTCCCACTGAAATTCTTGCATTTATGCCAAACCTGAGAATGGTACTGACCAAAGTGAGAAAGGGAAGGAATGGAATCAGTTTACAGCTCCATCAGTTTGATCAAAACACTGGTAAAATCTTCTAAATTGTCATTATCAACATCTTGAGGGCTGGGAAAGAAAAGAAGAGATCTTAGTGTGACAAAAGTGTGGCTGCTTTCAGTGAAACACAGTTGCTTCCAAGGTAAGGAAGGTACTAGGCTCCAGCAACAGAGCACATCTCTGACCAAGATAAAAGCTGTGTTTATTTGTCCCTTTTTTGAACAATAATGAGGAATCAGTTTCTCCTCCTAAATGTTTTGAACTTAAGCCATCTGACTAGGTTGTCTAGGTAGAGATGATTTCCATTAATAGTAACACCAGAAATTTATGCAAATTATGTTTTTCCATGTTAAAAACTAAAAGCAGTTCTAATACAAGCAGAATTAAATGATTAATCACCTTAATATATTGCAATTTACTCAGGGTTAATATATAGAGTAAGCTTTGAATGCGCACTGAAGTACACTGAACAGAGAAATGTACAAATTGCAACTCATTAGAATGTGTTTTTGTTGCAGTCATTACTATATATGCTATAGAAGTTGGTAAAATAGCAGTTGCACATTCAAATGTACTGTATATTACATAATGTGATTGTTTTGTTTTTATAAAACTACTTACCTTTGATTCTGTAACATTGCTCCCAAGAAATTCCTGAGTACCATCTGTTGGTGGTAGCGGCTATCCATCATAATGCTATCAGACTGGCGTCTAGTCAAGATTTCATGTTGCTCATCTCCCAGGCTTCCTTTCCTAGAAAACAACCAAAATGATTGCCATAGAGAAACACACCACAGAGGAAAGCATGAGTCAAGGGTCATAGGCAAAAGCTATTCCTGCTTGACTACCAGCCTCATAAATTGGTCTTGAAAAAGTTATTATTTAACATAGCTATTTTTTGAAGACAAGTACTTAAGCTAAAATAAAATTTATTTCTTCTAATGCAAATTCCACAATCTAATGACTGTTCATAGATGGCATTGTAGTCTTAACACAGGGGTCCCCAACCCCTGATCCATGGACCGATACTGGGCTGTGGCATGCCAGCAACCGGTCCACACAAACAAGCAAAGCCCCATCCATGGGATGCAGGCAGCACACAAAACCACGCATTCTCCGGTCCATGGAAAACCTTTCTCCATGAAACCGGTCCCTGGTGCCCAAAAGGGTGGGGACCTCTGATCTAACATCTGAGCACAGTTTGCTATCTTGAGATATTTGCAGATTTTAACATCTTAATAGGAAAGTCTAAATCTTTCTACAGTACTCCTCTAGAAATAGTTATAGATAAATATTTATTTGGATTAGAAAGATAAATATTTTTATACTACATATCAGATTTGGCCTACATTTTTTCAAGGAAATAGAGAGTGAAATGAGAGCTTTAGTTAAGATACTACATAAATTCAAATTTCCTCTAGTGAATAATTCAAAACACTTGAAATCTATAGCATATTTTATAATAACTTTCTTTGTTGCTAATTGATCTATATTTCTGGCCATGTCTGACCAGAAAAATATCTTGCGGTTGTAAGAATTTGTCACCACCACCAAGATTATCTTCCTGTCTCTGCAATGGACAGTCAAGTAGAGTCTTAACAGCTACAAAGTTATGGTAAATAATGTATATTCATTACACTTACCTAAGTCTTTTTCCAACTATGCCTTGTAATAACTTCCGTGCTGATACCTTTCCTCGGACCTTCCGGTAACTATCAGTGAATATGGCATCTGCATGACGCTGGAGTCTAATGAAATATAAATGCACTGTCATTCTGATGCAGTACCCACTTGCAAAGGAGCATCATAAGAACAATTCTTGTTAATGGAAAAGGCAGGTCTATATACCTTCAAAGCTACACTATCCTGAAAGTGAAAGTTCTATGCATTTCCAATTTCTATTCCTTTTGGATAACAAGTAAAGTGCTAAATAAAAATGAGTTCACTGCATTCTTTCTTATGTATAATTTGTTCCTGGAACTTATGAAGTCAAAATAAGGATCACCAATTTGTCCCCTTTTTATATGCTTGTAGCGCCTTAAAAAGTTCAATGGCAAAACAGGATGTTTTCCACAGGAGTGCTGGGTCAAGACAGGCCAAATAAATTTTCCAATGTCCTGACTGGTTTGTTTTGTTGGTTTTGTTTTGAATCATTTATTTTGATCTTTGTTGTGAATTCATGTATTTCTAATTGCTAAATTTTAAAGGCAAGAAAAAGTGTAAACATGTCTAAACAATTTTAACTAAAGTTCTTAAAAAGAAATTTGACATGTGTAGTACCTTAGGGGCTCTTAGTTTCACAACTATAAATACTATTTTCTGCATTCTTTCATGGAATCAGACCTCATAATCTGTTGGTGACGTTCTGAGAAGTTGGCCATTTGGAGTAAATAGGGCACCTAAGTAGATGGATCTTAGCTCTGAGCACAGCTAAGGTCATGTTACTTACTTTGACATTCATATATACCCACCTTTTTTCAGCAGGGCTGAGAAAATTCTCTTCTTGCTCTTCTACTGAAAGATTGTGGCTTTCGTGCACAGGACTACTATCTTGTAGTTGAAAGCTCCCTGCTTTGCCAGAAATGGATAGTGGATTATATCTAAAGTAACAAGCAACAGCATTAAAAACAATTAGAATAAGGCAAAATATTTCTCATCCCGTGGCACATCAAAGTAACAATTAGACATTCCTAGAAAAAGGAGGGAAAATATTGCCACATGTCCTCATTTGGGGGCTTATTGCTCTGAGGTCAATCATCTTTTTCAGTCAACCCAATCCATTGCATAGGATTGTGGATATTAGGATAAAATAAAGACACGTCGAGATCTGAAGGAAAAGGTTATACATAAATCATTAGCTAATATTTCATACATCATAAAGCACGGTAATCTACAGATCAATAAATAATATTGATAAATATAAACTATTTTAATCTTTATTAAAAATCAAATGGAAAAACGAGCATTTTAACTTAATTCCAAAAAAGCTTATATTGTATAGTGCTTGGCACATTGCCATGTTACTACAGAGAGGACCCTTCTGTTTGTAAATATATGTACTATCTTTAGAGATGGACTAGCTTCCTCCAGCAGCAAGAAACTTACTATTCAAGATAGACTTTTCCAATGGAGAAAAGGAACCGATGGGTTCAACTTACATTTTGAGTAGCCGAAAATTAATAGCAATGATCAACTACCTGAGTGGTGGATAGAGAGGAGAAGAAAAGGAACTCATGACAAAGTGGAGGAAAAGGAAAGGAGTAGCTCTGTCCAACATCTTAATGTCTTCTAGAGCAGGCTGCAACATAAAATAAGAATTTGGGATTAATTGTGGCACTTGAAAATAATCACAGAGATAACAATTCGGTGTTTTTCAAATCTGTTGTAAGTCAACTGAGCTTTCTCTCTTTACTAATCTCAGTAATCTAAATTCAATAACTTAAATTCCAGTAGAGCAGTGGTTCTCAACCTTTTTAATGCTGCGACCCCCAACCGGTCGTAAGTCGAGGACTACTCAACCGGTCGTAAGTCGAGGACTACTCAACTGGTGCAGCACCATTTGCAGAATGGGACTTTTGGCGGGCTCAGCAGGGTAGAGACAGCCTGGACAATTCCTATTGGCTTTTGAATTAGACTCTATTCAAGAGAGTCTATTCGATTGGCTTTCAAAAGCCAAAAGAATAAAAGGGAGTAGCACAGCTAAGGAAAAGGGGGAAAAAATGGTGGACTGCGTTGTTTGGCGACCCCCCGTGAAATGGTCGTTCGACCTCAAATGGGGTCCCGACCCACAGGTTGAGAACCACTGTTGTAGAGCATTAATATCCCTTCTGTACTTCAATCAAGCATGTGAATGGGTAGGAGAGAAAGGATATTGATTTCTACTAGGATCTCTCTTGTTGACAAATATGGCTACTGAAAGGTGTTCAATTCCAGAAATTAAAAAATGTAAATGGGACCATCAACAATGTTCCAGTTCACAGAACTGTTATGATCAGAGCTCCAAAACATACTGCATAAACTGAGATGGAATCCAAAGAACATACATTCAGTTCTACAGCTACTGAGCATCCTTAGTCTTATTGTGCTGCCTTGTAGATTCCTATTTTAACTATTTTCATTGTTTTTCCAGCCTCTTATAACTTCCACCATGTGAGGTTCTAGCTGTTTTGGCAAAGCGGGCAACTGCATTCACCTCAAAAATAAAAGGAAAATTTTATGAACAATGCTATGATGTCTCAAAAATATCCCTGTCTTTTTTGCTTTTTTAAAATAGATCTTCAAGCCAGATATCTGCTAGTTCAGAACAGAAATGACTTTTAACTGAGCCAGTTACTGAAGAGGGGGGGGGGGAGAAAATTCATTTCTTAGGCAACTCGTTATAGTCAAAAATTCCAGGTAGCCTGCCCTAAGTTTATGAGTACTTTTGATACTTCCAATACCAGGATTTGAGGGATGCAGATTAATAACCATTTTAACAATTTAAAGCTCAGGTTTTAGGCTCCTGTGTTTTAATTGTGTAATCTATTGCTCTCTCTTTCCATCATCAATTCTTGTCTCCGTTCTTATTTTATATTAGACTATAGAAATATAAATCATCCTGTGATCAATTTGGGAGAATCTAGGTAGCAGCATATAGCTGATCTAGGTTGTAAACCAAACAAGAAAACTGAATGGATTCAATCACCAGGAACTGAGCAACAGTTCAGGATAGCTTTCCCTTTTTTAATTCTTTCACTGGGGATGTAGGCAAGATTGGGATGTTGAAAAGGTATCCCAGAAGAAAGTCATAAGAAATCTCTTTTGTATTTTTGCCAAGAAAACTACACAGACATCTTCATAAAATCACTAGGATCACACTACAGCAGGGGTCCCCAATCCCTAGTCCATGGACCAGCACCGGTCCACAGAATGCCAGCAACTGGGCCACAAAAACAAGCGAAGCCCCATTCGCGGGATGCAGGCAGTATGCAAAACCCCACCCCCTCTGGTCCATTGAAAAACCTTTCTCCACGGTAACAGCCCCTGGTGCCCAAAAGGTTGGGGACCTCTGCACTACAGACTATCTTTTCAATGTCTTTTCATTTGTGCAGTTAAAAGTGATAGCACAGGTACAGCTATATCCACCACCACCCCACCTTGCCCAGCCCATTCCTGCAGTTGAGTGTTGAGCTTTCTAAAAAGCTGTTAAATGACTTATATTAAGAATGATCCAATCATTCTGCAACTTCAGAAACTAAAAAGACAGGATTTTAAATATTTCCCTTCATACATAGGGGTAATTGATAGCCTAACAGGACTTTATTGCCTTTCAGAATCAAAGATGCTATAGTATTATTATTGCCATTTTGAGAATTTAAAGTCGCAGAAATTGTAAGACAGCCATGTTTCTCTGTGGTGACAAAAATCACAAGGAGTTTGGAACCTTTTCCAACTAATTGTATTCATCAGAAGCATAATCTATGTTTTTTAATAAAATGTGTTAGTTGGAAAAGATGCTACCAAATTCCTTAAGCTGCAGAGGGCATAAACAAGAAAATCTCCCTTTGAAATAGATATCCAAAAAAATAAATCTATTCCTATTAGTTGATTGCTCTTCTGACATAATTTTAAGCGCTTGCATATTGTAATTGTAGAGAAAATAATAAGACAGAAAGAAAATATGAGATGTCACTAAATTATTGTGTCACTGACATTATACAATATTTCTGTACTTTTTACAAAGCAGTTCTGTAACTCAAAGGTAACCTCTGCTGAATCAATAGAAATTGTTCCCCATGAAGTGCATACTATATAGGGATTGCACTGTGAATAAATGCATATCATAAGGAATGTAGTCCCAATCTACTCTGAGATAAAGTAAAATGTGGGCTAGGAGAGGACTACAATGCTTTGCCTATGCTTTGTAAGTTTTTAAGTACCAGTTTATTCAGTTTTATACTTTACTTTCTAAATAACATATTTATAACTTCCTTTTCTTTTTGCCCATCAGCATTTTTTTCTAGGTAATATAAAAGCATAAACAGTTACTTATTTTCTGAGGACAAATGTTATTTTTAAAGAATTGGTATCTCTAACTATTTTTAAGTACTTAAATCTAAATTAGATAATAATTTAGATAATATTTCTGGGAAATATTATCCTAAATTTTACATTAGATTTATCAGAATCCAATTATTAATATTTGTCTCTGTAATTTACATCCCAGTGCTAATAATTCTTATTGAAATTTGACTGAAGAAAGTGTAGTTAATTTTCAAGTCAGTATACCTAGAATTATAATCTTATTCAATCTACAAAATCTTCTACAATTTCATTTTTACACCATGAAACTGATACTGTATCTATGAAGAAATAATAAAATTAATTGTATCAACTTACAGTTTCCTTTGGAAATGGTGTACCTTCAGGTCTATAAATTGTTGTCCTTTCTTGTAAATTTTTCTGCTGTGGTATTTGATGAAATGGGAAGAATTCATCCAGCTTTTTGAACTATAGGAGTCTCCTGGTCTTTTATACTTTCATGTCTTCATCCAACTTGCAAATTCCTGAACGTCAGAGAATCAATTACTTACCAACCATTCCAAAAAGCCATATTTAGCATCCTTTATCTTACAAAGAGAATCACAAACAGGCATCAGTGGAAGGTATGAAGTGCCTGACATGCAAATTATCATCATCACCACTGGATAGAACAAATAACAACTTGCTACTGGTAAATTTTGCATTTCTGAAAAACACCCATTTTTAACAAGAAAGCCAGCTATGATGGAAAATTAACCATTAGTATCACCTCCTCCATTTTTCATAAAGAGATTTGTTTCTATAATATATTGTATTGCTCTAAATTATCAGAATTATCTTCTTTTGCCTTGATGCTGTGGTTATATGAACACGCACTAGTGTTTTGCAAATAGCAACAGTATATGAGCAAAGAAAAATCCTGAAGTATTACAATAGGATTTAATCAGACTTTAGAGATTATCTAGTCCAACCTTCTAGAAAAGTGGGCATCTAACCTCTACTTTAAAAGGAAAAAAAAAACCTTCCATGTCAGTTTATTCCTTTATTAAAATACTTACTACTGTCAACAATTTCTTCATGGCATTTGGCTATAATCCTGTTTTTGTATAATTCTGAACCTATTAATTTTCATCCTATGTTCTGAAGCAACAGCAGCATCAACAAAAATCTCTATCAAAATCTGGCAGTCTTCACATATTTGAACATGACGAATGTCACATTTTACTCATCTCCTCAACTTTCTACTTAACCATTAACCCTTAACCATTTCTGTAACCTCCTATATGTTGTAATTTGGGGGCATTTTTCTTAAACTGTGAGTGACATTACTCCACATATTCCATAAGGAAAGCATAAGCAAGATTAATTACTAGTAGTAAATATTTTGTTTAATTTAGACAGCAGAATTATGTTGATGCAACCTAAAATTTCATTAGCATTTTTAATTGTCAGGGCTGGAGCCTCAACTGGACAAAACATAACCAGAAGAGTTTCTTCGGAGACCTCTTGAACACTTCCTCCATATCTTCTTCCATTTGACTGAGGTAATTTCTGAGCTTCCTTCATCTCATTCTGTAGGTTCTTGGAGCAATATTGAAGGTGTATACAAATAGTCCTTGACTAACGATCTCAACTGAGCCCAACATTTTTGTTGTTAAGTCAGACATTAGTTAAGTGAATTTTGATCCATTTTATGACTTTTCTTGCCACAGTTGTTAAGGGAATCACTGTAGTTGTTAAGTTAGTAACATGGTTAAGTGAATCTGGCTTCCCCATTGACTTTGCTTGTCAGAAGGTCACAAAACATGATCCCATGACCCCAGGACACTGCAACCATCATAAATATGGGTCAGTTGCCAAGCATCTGAATGTTGATCACATGACCCTGGGGATGCTGCAACAGTTGCAAGAGTGAAAACTAGTCATAAGTCACTTTTTCAGTGCCACAGTAACTTTGAATGGTCACTAAATGAACTGTTGTAAATTAAGAAGTACCTGTATTTTGGAAGTTCCAGAGCCATTATTAACTGGCACAAAACAGAATACAGGAAATACTTTTTCTATCCTATGTTAAGATGATCCACAACTTATAACACAACTGAGCCTAAAATTTATGTTGCTAAGTGAATTTATTAAGTTAATTTTGCCTCATTTTACGACCTTACCACAATTGTTAAGTGAATCATTGCAGTTGTTAGTAACACAGTTAAGTGAATCTGAATTCCCCATTGATTCTGTCAGAAAATTGCAAAGGTGATCACATGACAAAAGGACACTGCAATTGTCACAAATATGAGTCAGTTGCCAAGCATCTGAATTTTGATCACGTGACCACAGGGATGTTGCAATGATCATAAGTGTGAAAAACAGTTGTTACTTTTTTCAGTGCCATTGTAACTTTGAAAGGTCACTAAATGAATTGTTGTAAGTCGAGGACTATCATATATTGATTTTTGCTGTCACTGTAAGCCATGGTTACTGGAGGATCTGGCCAGTTTGTTCTGACAAGTTCTGTTGATTAAACAATGAAATCTGTTTGGATCCCAGAAATGTAACTTCTCTGTGGCTCTACCCATCTGGTGTTTTGGAGGCCTTGTAGACCTGGCTTTTTGCCTTAACCTTCGACTATGGTAGTTAAAGCCCATTCTGAGTAGTGTGTATGTGATTCGCATTGTCTGGTTTGGCTATCTTTTAGTTCATTTGTCTTTATTGTTGTACTGTTTTATTGTTATTTCCTATGTCTTTCCTTTGTGAACCACCCAGAATTGCTGGGACTGTGATGGTATACAAATTCAAGAAATAAATTAATTGTCCCTCTAGTCTTCTGATTTCTACTTAATATGCACTCAGACAAGCTATCCAAAACAGAGATTTAACAACAGAGATATAGACAGACCTGTGGAACTCTTTTAAAAGATAAAGACAAGAATGAGAAAAATAATTAGTTCATTGTACGTATAGTTTTGAGGTATAGAAGAAAAAGAACTCTAACAAATCTGGATGTTTTCTTATGTGAATAATAGCGCCAAAGTCAAAGATTATTCTGTATATCTTTGTTATAGCTAAACCATTGCGCAACAGTTACTGAACCACATTCCTAGACTCTAGTGCCTTTTTGAGATCTTGAATGCACAATTTTCTGAAGGATTTTTCTCTTTTTAATAAAACACAAATTTGTTACATGTTAAAAGAGGCAAAGAACAGTTAATTTAGGATGGGACATTTTTGTTTCATGGCCACTTTTTTGTTAAAGATTTTCTATATGTTCCATAATAAATGTCCAGTATCTTTTTTAATACATAAGTATTTCATTTAGCAGAGCTTTACATTGTTATTTTGATTATTGTTGTCTGCTGCAAGTTTTCATGAGGTCATCAAAAGTGCAATTAAATCAAATAGAAGCTTCTGTTAGCTAAGCAAAAGATGTTTAATTATTTGCAAAAAAAATAGCAAAAAATATTAAGAAGAAATATACTTGTGGAGAATAGAATGGCTATTACTGTTCAACAGCAGATGTCACTGTTTAACAATGATTTAACAATGATTTAACCAAAACCGTGACACTTTGTTTAAGCTAAGTTGTATTAGCTGGGTTGAGTACATCTTTGCATTCTTGGTTTTATCATTTATCCAGAATTTTGCATTAGTCACAACATCTCAACCACAGCTGTCAGCAAAATCATAATGGTGTTAACCTCTTTTTTTTTGGTATCCTGTTTTACCAGATGCTTTCCAGACATTTAAAGATATAATTTGTCAAATTCATGACTGGCCAGATAAAATAAGACTTTAAAAAAGGAATAAAGGTATCTATTGCAATGTATAGCCACTTGATAGTCAAACTACAAAATACCTTGGGTCATGTGTATGTATTTATGTTTGTTTATAGCTTTTTACATCTTTTAAATCAAGGATCTTTGTGATGTCTAGATATTATATATTTGAATAAATATAAAAAGAAAAATAAGTCATTCTTAACTGATTTCACAATTTGTCTAAATATGTCTTAAGTCCACCATGTAGAATTCCAGAAAAGCAATAATTGTACTTCCAAATCTCATCAAAAGGACTTTAATGTGCCATCTTTCTCTCTCATAATTCTGGAAGGGGAAGAAGTGCAGAGTAAGGAATGTAGGATAACATTCTTTGCAAGCGCCTGCTTCTCTAGTGTTTTCTCCATTTTTTTTCCTAACCAAATCTGTCAAGGAGTAAAAGAGAATTATCACCCAGAGTTCTGGCTGGTAGCACTCCATCTATTCTAGATTTGCACTAGGTTCTTCTGCTTGAGCAGGGGGCTGGACTAAAAGACCTCCAAGGTCCCTTCCAGCTCTTTTCTATTCTATTCTATTCCGTTTCGTAGGACCTGATTTCCCTGCTTCAACCCAAAACAATGTCTTAAGTCAAACAAGGAAACAGGAACGCAATCTATAGGGCAGGTAATACCACAGCTCCAGCTGTTTCGCCCATCCCTCAGTGTAGGAACCACAAGGACCCCGTTTCATAATATTTGGGTCGGTTCCCCTTAATCCGCTTCCCCTGGTTAGCGATGCTTCGAATCCATCGGATCTGACAATTAAGTCTGGCAAAACTTCGCAGCGAGCGGGAGAGCGATTGAATAAGGGGCGGCGCTATTTGGGCAAGACGTTGCTACCGGCCGTTGCTAAGGGAGGAAGTACTTCCTGGGGAATCGGAAGCGCTTCCGGGAACGAGATTGGATTTGAGTTGGAGGTAAGACGGGTGCTGGGTGAGGTTGATGAGATTCCTGAAAATATTGGGAGGTGTGGGGGGGGGGAGACTGTAGCCCTTCGTTTGAGAGGGAGAGAAAAATGATTTTTTTTCGTCCTGAGCGTTTTTATTCTAGCTCTAGTCCAGCCATCCTTCATTGATCTGTGCGAGAACAAGTTTTTCGCATTTCTAATGTTTTTCTTCTTTTTCTCGCGTAACCGCCTTAATGAAATCCTGAATTTCGTCTATTTAATAACTAGCAATTAGTCTAATGCTTTCCCAGAAGGAAAAACTCAACTGCTGTGTTTTTATTAGTTAAACATATTTTTTTTAAGTAACCTCTAACAATGGGGGGATTAAAAGTAAGAGAGGAGAAAATGTATCCCTTCATAAATAAATGTCACTAAGAGATTTTTATTTGAAAAATGAGCTTGGCATTTGGGCAGATGACTTTTTAAACTTAATTTTTGGTCATATACAGTTGGCTTTACTCTTCCTGTTTTAAGACTGCTTTAATTAAACTATTTAAATTGCTTCCATTGATAGAGATTTATTTAAAAATCATTCTTGAGGTTTTTTATGTATAATACTTCAATGGCAAAACTACATAACCAAAAGTTCTAGTGCCTTTGATGAGTGCTGAGCCTAGAAAGATGCTGTCCAGCCTCCAAAACAGGAAAATGTTATAAGAATCAGCATGGAGAGAATAAATGTTAAATGAAGCTTTTGTTGCTGCTGCTACTACTACTATCAAATTCCTATTTGATACTGTTCAGTTATTTCTTGTACTTCTGTGATGTATTAGTGTTGTGTTGTGCTTGCGAATTCTGCCTTATCACATCACCACAGTTTATTCACCCTCTAAAAGTTTGGATTAAAATTCCAAGATCTGCTTCTAAGCGGGTATTCCAGGGAAGCTTGCTTTTTGTATAAAAAATTTGAAGGCTATACCTAGTATTTTTGATCACTCCCAGAAATGGACCACTGGTAGCCAAGGAGGAATAGAATAGCTTTTGCCAACCTAACTTGTTCCACATGTTTGTTGGACTTCTGTGGAACTAAATTTCAAAGCGCATGCTAGCTGAGATTTCTAAGACTTTGGGTCCATCACATCTGCAAGGTACCCAGTTAGTGGAGACTCAATATCACACTCAAACAACCAACAGCATTCTGATCATTTGCTTCAGCATTTTGTGCCTTACAGAGTTCCTGAATGAGGATTATGGTTTTATGAAAAAAATACATATTTAAAATAGAATAGAGCTGGAAGGGACCTTGGAGGTCTTCTAGTCCAGCCCCCTGCTCAAGCAGGAGAACCTATCTCAGACAAGTGACTGTCTAGCCTCTTTTTAAAAACCTCCAGTGATGGAGCGCCCACGATTTCTGGGGGCAAGCTATTCTACTGGTTAATTGTCCTCACTATCAGGAAGTTTCTCCTTAATTCCAGGTTGCTTCTCTCTTTGATCAGTTTCCAATCATTGTTTCTTGTCCTGCCTTCTGGTGCTTTGATTAATAATGTGACCCCCCCTCTTCTTTGTGGCAGCCCCTCAAATACTGGAATACTATCATGTTTCCCCAATTTTTTCTTTTCTTTGGAGTAGCCCACAGGTCGGCAACCTGCGGCTCCGGAGCCGCATGCGGCTCTTTGAGCCTTCCCCTGTGGCTCCCAGCCTCCTCTGCCTTTGCAGAGAGAGACAGAGACAGAGAGAGGCAATTGCGCTTCCCTGCTTCCTTCTCTCTCTCTCTCTCTCTCTCTCTCTCTCTCTCTCTCTCTCTCTCTGTGTGTGTGTGTGTGTGTGTGTCTGGGTGTGTGTGTGTTGTGTGTGTGTGTGTGTGTGTGTGTGTGTGTGTGTGTAAAAGAGAGTGCACTCACAGTGTTCTCCGAGGAGCTGAAAAGCTTTCTGGGCGGAGCTCCTCCCTTTGCTGCGTCTCTGAAGGAAGCAGGAAGCAGGAAGGGCAGGAGAGAGCTAGCTAGCCCAGTTAGGCTGACTCAGGAATTATGGGAGTTGAAGTCCATGAGTCATAAAAGAGACGAGGTTGCCTACCCCGGAGGTTGTTGGACAACAGCTTGAAGCTTGCGAGGTGAGCAGCAGATGGGGGGGGGGGAGAAAGAGAGAGAGAGAAAGAGAGAGAGAGGGGGAGAGAGAGAGTGGGGAAGAGGAGTGGCAGACCAAGGGCAGATAGAGAGGGAGGGAGAGAGAGACCCTTTTGACATCTAAAATGAAGATAACACTGCATATATCCTTTTTTTACCTTTGTGTGTATGTAATTTTATTCTCTTAAAGCATTCTCTTGGTGATCATTGTTTTAATAGTATGGATATTCCCAAGAGTCATATTTTTACTTTTATTTTTAATGTGTATATGTGTGTGTGTGTCTGTGTGTGTATGTGTGTGTGTATACACATATACACATACACACATACATACACATACACACACCTATAATAAAGGTAAAAAAGGATATATGCAGTGTTATCTTCATTTTAGGTATCAAAAGGGTTTTGCGGCTCCCAGTGTTTTGTTTTTGGTGGGAAACGGGTCCAAGTGGCTCTTTGAGTGTTTTGGGTTGCCTACCCCTGGACTAGCCAAACCCAAGTCTGGCAGCTGTTCTTCATATGTTTTAGTCTCCAGGCCTTTGATCACCTTAGTTGCTCTTTTTTTTCCATACTCTCAAAATTATTTTTGTGATATGGTGACCAAAATTGGCTGCAGTATTCCAGATGTGGCCTTACTAGGGTTTTATAAAGCAGTATTAATACTTTGTGTGTTCTTGATTCTATACCTCCGTTTATACAACCCAGGATTGTATTAGCTTTTTTGGTTGCTGCTGCACACTGCTGGCTCATAGTCAAGTAATTGCCCACTGGGACTCCAAGGTCCCTCTCACAGTTACTGCTTTTAACGGAACTTCTTTTCTTTGCAGAAACAAGGCAGTCCAATTTTGTTGGAAGTGTACTTAAGGTCTTCACTATGGCTGCTGAGTTGGATTTTTCACCCCCTGAAATCCCAGAGCCCACCTTTATGGAGAACATCTTACACTATGGGCTTTTCTTTGGTGCCATTTTCCAGCTCATTTGTGTTCTGGCGATAATCCTCCCTGTTCCAAAGACATATAAAATGGTAAGCATTTCTTGTCTATGACCGTGCTACTACAGCTGGGCATTGTTACTAACTGCCTGTTTGGCAACAATCAGATCATTACCTGATTTTTTTTCTCTCAAATATGCTGTTTTTTTTTTTTTTTCATTCTTTAGAGGACAAAGAGACAGACATCAGTTGAGCAGTTTTTTTATCTATTAGGGACTCTCTGTGCATTATAGGAAGTCCATGGCATCCTGACAATTGCAGCTGTTTCCTTAGAATAGAAATGTGGAACCTTTTTCAGCTTTTTTATATTATCTACGAGAGAAAGAACATGGCAGAATTGGGTTTAACCAAAGCCAATACAGGCTATAGCTTATACTGAAACTCAGTGTAGCCCAAGCTAGCATTTTCATTTCTTTTTGCTTCCTTTTTCCCCCCATTCTGTCTCTTTTTTTTTCTCATTTCACCAGTCATCATCTATTTCCATTTTTACTCCACCAAACTTACTGCCAGTTTTACACTTCTGAAGACAGATACTTTTATTTCCTCCAATACTCTTATAAGATCTCTCATTCACACTCTTATTTCTTTTGTTCTTCTCCACATCTGTCTATGTTCTTTTTTAGGAGAAAAGAAGAGGGGAGCAAAATAAAGAGATTTAATCGAATTCAGTGACAACCATTGCAGAAAATTAATATAAGGAAAGAGATTGCAGGCTAGATATGGATATCTGGCAAACTGAGAAGACCGTTCTTAATTGGAAACTTCATCTCATTGCCAGGAAGTGATATAGCAAAGGATTCCAGATTGAGAAAAAACACAGTGGCATTTTATTTTTAGCTTGGCAAATTTCCAGGTTGTAACAACTTGTGGACACAGGAGTGTTAGGCAAGACTGTGGTTATTGTTATGTTTTCTTACATAATTCTTGTACAAAAAGTAGTCGCATATCATGAATGGGAGTTGCTCTTGTCAAAATTTCGTTGACCTTTTATTTTTTTATTTATTATATTTTCTATATTGATAGAACCTCAGAATATGAAATGGTAGGATAGTAACAAATGAAAATCTAGCAACCTTCTGCAATAGCCAGTGTTCTCTCTCAACACCCATAATTCCTAGTCAATGTACTGGTCATCCAGTGCAAGGATTTCCAGTACAACTGGAAAAAGCACCAGGCTGAGGAAGTTACACACTTATTTCAAGCTTGACAAATAAGATAGAATTTCTAAAATATAAGAAAAGAAATAATAAATAGAAAGAAATATAATAGAATCTTACAAATTAAGATCATTGTTGAATTATTTTTACCTCAAAAGTATTAAAAATTTTATATTTTCTGGGTACATTAGACATTAATACATCTTGATGTCTGAAATAATTTTGAAAGTAAATCGGATACAGAATTTAATCCAATTCGAAAATCATTTTAGAATGCTAAGACTGTTAAAAGGCTGGTACTACATTGAACATTTGGGGGGAGTAATTATTAAACTTTTTAATAGGTTGTGTAGGAATTAATTGTATGATTTATGATGTGTTGACTTGTTATTGATATTCATATTATTTGGATTTTAACAATTTGTAATTTTTATATTGATATAGTATATTCAGTTACTTAGCCTAATCAGTGAAATATTGAACATTTTAACAATTCTTAATGCTTATAAATCCCTGTTTATCCACTGTGTTTTATTTTTTTATTTTACCTCTTTTTCCCTTTGTTCTTTTTTATGCTTGTATTTTTTCCTTTTCCTATTCTGAGAAATTTTTAATAAAAATATAGTTTAGTGAGAGGTTGATTAATGCAATAGTTGCCCGCACTTTACTTTTGCAGCTTAATACATCATCATTGAAGGCATTAGAGGATACAACCTAGTTCCAAGGGTTCGCAAAATAGTAGCACTTGCAAGCACTATAGCACATATGAATTCTCTCAGGTGGCTTCTGTTAGTCCTCAAAATAAAATGAAAGTTAATTTGAAGAAAATTATTTAATTGACCAATATCTTGAGTGCTCATCAAATATCACACAATTTTAGTGATCCCATCTGAAATTTTGCAAGACATTCAGCATGAATGCTGAAATCCTATAAAACCTTGGCCATATTTAAAGATTTTTGCCCATTTTTAAAAATGTGTATTTTGACATCCGCATAAGAGACTACCTCTAGTATCCTCAGAGGCCAACAGTGGTCTATAGGTACAATTAGCACAATACTATTGTATTAGTTCAAGCTTCTGGTTAAGATTATAGTTAATTTCCCAATACACCACTGACAACATCATTATTCTGTAATTGTCACTTTTATTTGGTTCCAAAATGTGGCTACCTAACCAATCTCTGGGCCTCCTCTTCAAAATTAAAGCAGGATTTTCAGAATTCAAATTTTGAATAAGACTAACCTTGTGCACTTGATGGCACAATTGTGTGTTTGTAACTGGTGATTAAAAAAAATAATCTTCCTCCCTCCTGCTATCAAATTTATTCTAGGTATCCATGTTTTTTGCAGGACTGTTTTTTCTTTCTTTGCACTTGTCTTCAGCAAGCATAAATTGTTTTAATTTAGCCCCAAATGCTGAGTATCATGCCAACTAACTGAGGACTTTGCGATTATGAATTATTTAATAGCAAAGAAAACAGTTTTATTGTTTGAATGTAAAGTAAGTTAGCTATCCAGCAAATAAACACATCAACTTTCCTCAGTGAAAAGCAAATGCCAGAATATAATGCAGCTATAATACTTTAAAAATAGCAGGAACTTATTCCATAAGCTACAATTTTTCACATAAGAATTAGTCCTGTAGTTAACTAATATAGAGTTACCATGAAGATTTATATTTTATAAATGTATTAATCTTTCAGATGCTAGTTTGTATTTCCTTCACTTTAAAGAAATAAACCTTGTTTATCCCCCCCCATAAAACCTGACACAGCATACATAGATGTACACCCACTTAGAGTATTTAATTTTGAGGTGCTTGAAACTTGGTTAACTGTATATTGTTGAGTTAGGAAGGCACCTGGCAGAACTACTGGGTACAGTTCATGGTTTAGCCAATTTCATGTCTGCATATTAAAAAACGTAATGGGCAGAGAGTAGGACAGCCTAAAGTTGTTTTGTTGTATACATTTTAAGAATAAAATGATATTAAGGTTATATTAGATAGGAGTAATTTGATTCTGTGGAGGACATTGGAAAACTACCATCAAACTAATATCTCAAAAGAGATATTCATTCTCTGTTGGGGTTGACATTACATTAAATGTTAAATTGTAATTTTAAAAATACTCAAAATTGAATTCCTTGAGATTGTAAGAATCAGTGGGCTGCAGAAAAGAGTCAGGCAAACAGAATTCTCATTGTACCCGATTGGGCCTTATGTTATCCTGGGAATCTCCTTCAGACAGACAATCATTCTTTGCTATGCACTATTTCCAATTCATTCTGATTATTAAAAGGAAACATGATTATTCTATTATTATTATTATTATCGATCATCGCACAGTCAGCCAGATGTTCAGACTGGATTTGGCATTTTGTCTACCTATCGAGTCCTTACCCAGGACCTGGGATAGGCAGATGTGGATGTTTGATGGTATTACAGATATTGTCGCAGGATGGAAGCAGTTCCTAATAAGGCCACCTTTTGTAATTGACTAATAGCGAATTTGTCAATGCCAATTGTGTTCAAGTGGTGCTCCAGTTGTTTTGGGATTGCACCCAAGGAGCCTGTGACTATTGGTACTACCCTTGCTTGCTTTTGCCACAGTCTTTCTATTTCTATTATTATTATTATTAAACATTATTATTCTTACTTACCATAGTAATTTTATCTGTTTCCATGTTTTCTCATTCTTCATTCAGGAATATTTAAACTATGCCCTTTAAGTCTCTGAATGATAAATGCTTTTGCTTCTGTTTGTCCAAAGCACTGAAGTTTCCTGTGGGTGAATCATACACCTTAATTGCCATAGCCCTGTAACTTAAAAGAGATTTCAGCCAAGTTCATTGATTATGAAGATACTGGTTGCTCTTCTCCCCTTTCCAGCAGAGCAAAATCCGCATTGCTTTCTAAGAGGCTTAAAATCAGCACAGATCCCTGTGCCAGTTTTCTGTGGGTTTTTTTTCCAGTTGGCATACATTAATTGTGGACATCTTTAGAATCCAAAAAATATTTATATCAAAACTTGTTTAATAAGGGAAAGCAATCTGTGAATTGAGCTTCCTCTAAAATATCATGAATATGTATGATATCTCTCCCCCCTCCCTCCCTGCCCCTCCCTCCCTCCCTCCCTCCAATTCTTTGATTCCAACAGAAGAAAACTGTTTTCTCCATATCTTTTCAAAATTTTCCCACCAGTTTTGTAAACCTATCAGGCCCTATGTACCAAAGTAGGCTAGAGAGAGGATGGAGAGAATATTTAAAACCGAAGCTGATACTGAATCTTAAAGTTTGCATGGATGAAATCTAAAAATGTCAGTCTCAAATGTGATAGTCTACATTCAGTTTTCTGCTAATTTCAGACACATTCTAATCTTTGTTAACACAAAACAAATAACACATCATGAATTATTAGATTATAGTCTATAAAGATTTTTAAAGGACTTACAGAAAGTCAACATGATCGGGATTATCCAAATCTCAGATGATAATGCTGTTCCAAAGGGCAGGTGTTATGACAGAGAAGGCATGCTTCTCTGGTCCCACTAGGTGGCAGTGTTTCATAGAAGTGATCCAAATCTTGCCCACCCTGTGAGAGCCCATGGGCCAACCAGAAACAATCAGAGATAGGTGGCCCCACAGGTAACAAAGCCTGTGTCATGAAGGGCTTTATGGGTGCATAGCACCCATAACTTTGCATAGCAAAGTTCACCTGGAAGTTGTAGATAGCCAATGCAGTTGTGTAGTAATGATATTGTATAGGGCAGTGGTTGTTAACCTTTTTGAACGAATTGCCCCCTTGAGCCAATGAGGAAGTTGTCATCGCCCCCCTCCCCCAACATAACCTCTCAATCACAGCATAGGAAATAATTTTTCAATTTATGCAAACACTTTTTTTTTTTTAATTGTCATCAGGACATATGGATGCAAATAATTTATTTCCAGTCTTTTTTTCATATCTCAACTGTGTGAAAAATTTTTGGTGCCACCCGTCACTTTATTCCCAAACTTCGTGCTACATGTATTTCATTATTATGTTATTTCTTCAAGACACTTAAATGTAGTGACCACTGAAAACAAAATTCAATTGCAAGAAAGTGAAATGCCCGAAAAGAAAAACAGTAACATTTAATGACTGAATTACAAGTGAAATTTAAGATGCAAAAAGAAATATTAAAAGGGCATAAGAACAAACCGCAATGCAGGAACTAAGAATTTCAAGACAAAAACTCTGAAACTAAATTAAGATTCAAGGAAAGTATATATAGTCATGCACACTGTAAAAAGGATTAAAAAGACACAAAATATAATATCGAACTGGAGTGCACACTAAAAAAATACATTGCAAAATGTTTTACAGAGCCACTCAGCATGTGATGTTTCGAAAGAAGCGCTCCCCCCTCCATCAGATATACAGCGATTCACTGTACAAAAAAGTCTCAAAAGTGTCCCCAAAACTTCTCGCTCCATCGCCCCCATATTGCCCCCTTTTCGGTCCTTCACCCCCGTGTTGCCCCTTTCTGTTCCATCACCCCCCTGAAAAACGAAATCGCCCCCTGGGGGGCAATATCGCCCAGGTTAAGAACCACTGGTATAGGGTACCCCGGTGCATTCATAATTATACATACCATTGCATTTTGGACTAGTTATACCATATTTTCTCCAAAATAAGATCTAATTGGAAAATAAGCTCAAGCATGATTTTTCAGGATGCTTAGTAATATAAGCCCTGCCCCAAAATAAGCCCCAGTTAAGATCATCAACCAGACAGACGTATTTAATTAAAAAATAATATATAATTAAATATAAATAATATTATTGACATTTATTTGAATAAATGTAGATTGTTGTACCAAAAAAATAAGACATCACTTGAAAATAAGCCCTAATGGGTCTTTTGGAGCAAAAAATAATATAAGACCGGTCTTTTTTCAGGGAAATATGGTAGCTTCTTGATAGTATTTAAGGAGAGCCTCATATAGCATGAATTGAACAGTCCAGTTAGGAAGTGACTAAGGCATGACTGTCCATGAATAGGGCTTTCTGATCTAGAAATGGGCACAATTGATGTGCAAAATGGATTTGTTCAAAATCCTTGGTCATGACTGCTACCTGCTTTTCAGGTAGGAGTGGAAAATCCAAGAGGATTCCTAAATTGCATACAAGTTTATCTGGCAAGTTTAATCCTATCCAAAACTAGAAGATAGACAACATCTAGATTCGGGGAGCATAGAACCCAAAGCTCAGTCTTATTTGGGTAAAGCAATTTATACTATCATCTATTAGTCCTTTTTTCCCCTTCACTTTGTTCTCAATTTCGGTACTTTTCCTTCTCTTCGATATAGTTTGACTTACATTCTTTGAAGCACTTTCTTCTCCCTTTCCTGATTCAGAATCAATGGCTTTAACGTAGCATTGCTGTTTTCTGTTAATCAGCTAATTATTAGTTGTTAGATTTTAACTCTTCCATGTTTTTTCTTTCTTTTTTTTTTTTTTTTTTGCCCACCTTGGTTACAAAACTGTGCTGATCAGCACTAAGTAAAAAATACCTAGGATCAGCCTGAATAAACTTTTTAATTAAATTTTCTGTGTAAAAGATATAAGTATAAAACATGTAGTACTTAGAAAGACTTTGATTTTATAAATGATTCATGAGCACGTTTATCCAGCATTCTCCTGTACCAGCAAATAATTAAAAAGATCCACAAAATCATTAATGTTCTGTTTCCCTTAATGAACTTAACAGGATACTGAATGCTTTGAAACGAAAAGTGCTGAAGTAGTCAAGAAACCCAAAATTGCTGCTATCTCAGTGAACAAGAAGCTCAAAAAAGAAACAAAGAAGAAACGGTAAAATGATATCATGATGAAATTTTTACAGCAACCTTTTGGCAACAAGTCAAATTGCAGTGAAGATGATGTTGGCGAAAAATGAACATCCAAATATATTTGATAAAGTTGTCCTTATACTAGTTTTGAGGAAGTAGATAACACTTTCTAAAATGGCTTCAGATTTATTGTTTCACCTGATCTGTAATAAATAGCCTGTAAGGTTAGTGAGAAATATCTTACAGTTTGGCTCAGTAACAGGAAAACAATCTTTTCTTTGGGCAGTGTTTGAGAGACAACTGGATCATAGGCATATCCCATTATACCACCTTTTTCCCTCTTTTAAACAAAGGAATCAAGCACTCTACTACTTTTATATATTGGTAATATAATTGTTTATATTATTGTTATTCTTTCATTTTTTTATTAAAAAGAGTCCTAATAACTGTGCTGAGTTTAGCTTTTTTGGAATTTGAGAATTCTTTGGCATTTTACTGTTGTCCTATTCTTGTGTATAATAAACCAAGTTGTTCAAATTCTCTTCAAGCTAATTGGACTGAATAAATGAAAACTGTGCTTCCCACTCAAAAAAAGATGAACAATGCTGTGCCAATAAAAATATCTCAGAGCCAATAAGCAAACGTCTCAGATCCAATTTGATATAGTGATTAAGGCAACAAGCCTGAAACTGGGGGACTAGGAGTTCTAGTCTTACTTTAGGCACAAAGCCAGCAGGATGACCTTGGGCCAGTCATTCAATCTCAGCTTTAGTAGGAGGCAGTGGCAAACCACTTCTGAAAAACCTTGCCAAGAAAACTGCAGGAATTTGTCCAAGCAGTCTCCGACAATCAGACACAATTAAACAGAAGGGGGGGGGGAAACCCTCAGTAGTGTTATCAGCAGGCTAGTTGTGGATCTTCTACTAGTAAACAAAATGTACTTCTCCTAAAATGAAATAGCCTTCATTATGCTGTTGATAGAATTGAAGACAGAATTGTGGTGGCTCTGTAGCCAAAATAGACCTATTGAGAAACTAGAAGCATTTTCACCTTCCTTGGAAAATTCCCAAATCTACAGATGGGAAAAAAATTAACTAGATAAAAACTAACCCTGAACAAAAATAGTCTATGCTGCCAAATATATATATTTATGTTAATAACAAAATATACAATTTGCTGTGTTAGGTGTCTGCCCCTGCCATCTTATGATGTTCCACAAGCAAACGTGCTGTGTGCAGATAATTATGCAATAGATCAAATGTGTCATGTCTGCCATGAGATCCATGAAGCTGGATCAAACAATCTAGTGGAAAGTAGTGGCTTTCAGGGGATAAGAGAACAAACCCTTATATGCAAATATTATGATGTATCAGAAGGAGCCTGAGAATTCAATCCTAGGTAGCGGTGAATATTTCTCTCTTAGGGCGCAGAGAAAAAATATCTGCTATGGACTCCATTTAGGCGTCAGGAAGGGCATTCAGCCAGTAAACGCTCAGCTCTATCCAGTCGCCCTGATTCTACTCCAAATTAAGAAATTACAGGGTTGTTAAAAAAAAAAGGAGAGAAAGTTGGACAACCTGCAAATTGACCCCTTCAGATTGCCCCCTCCGATTCAGCCATGGGGCTCTGTTCTTCCATGGCCATTTCTGTTTCACCTGCCAGAAAGAACCTAACCTAACTAGTTTTTTTCAGCCCTGCTTAGGAATCCTAACTTCATGGAACATTTCTGGAGGTCACTATTCCTACTGATCTCAGACTTAACAAAGGGGTTTCCAATACTATTTGCATCAGGAGAGCAGATGGTGGAGACCTTCCTCACCTTGTATCCCCTTTAAATTCAATGTTCAGGATGTAGGTACTGAGTTTAAAATATTATTTCTCAATCTTAGCAACTTTCAGATGTGTATACTGCAACTCCCAGAATTCATCAGTATTACTGCAAAAGTACAGTAAACAGTCCTTTGCCAGGGTAGCAGCATAAAATAAACTTCCAGGAATGTTTGGGGAACAATAATTGCCAAGGAAGTGGGGAAGAGCCCGTAGAAATGCAAAAAGCAAAACAAAACTCAATTTATTTTGGAATCTGCATAAAGGAGAGCTCAGAAAGGAAGACCTAGTGTTAAACTGACATAACAGAAGTTGTACCTTACTTTATCAAATGCATTTCAGTTTATCCACTCTATGCATTTGATGAAATGAACAGCAATTCTTGAAATCTTGACCGTTTTATAAAATTGATTAGTCAGAAAGAGTGCTAATAAACTGATTTTGGGACTCTTGGGCATACAAATGTTGTAGCTGTTTCATGTTCAGTCTCTTCAAAATAAACATTCTTTTGGCTTAATTATTCCTTAGTATTTTCATTAGCAGAGGTACGTTAGTATTTTTTAAAAAATAGTTATACCTGATATATGAGTGCTTTTCACAAAGTTGGACCTGGATAATGGAAAATACCAAAAGATACCAATGTTGTAGGCTAGATTTCAGAGATAACATCCTCAGAAAAAGGCAAGGAAAGCACATAAATTGCCCATGAAATCACCAGGATTCAGATTCAGCATGAAGGATATTTCATTTAAACACAATGGAACCAGGAGCAAACTGAGTTTCAATGAAAACACATTTTTGTTTAGCTTCTCTTTGTCTGCTTAAAAGATAAGCATCAAAATCCCTGAAATCCTGTTACTCATAAATAATTGTAATTAACAAAATCAGGAAAACCAGTTCAACTCCAAAGGCTTAGAAGTGTTTATACAAATATATACAGTATATATTTACCACTTTCCAGCTTCTGGTCTTTTAGCAATTATTATTTTAACTGATAATGTTTTTAACCCTTTTTGGGTAAAATAGTCACAGCTGCTAATAAAATCATCCAGAGCAGATTCCATAGCAAAAGTCAACTTCCAATCATCTACTTTGTGGACTGCAGATTTTAGAGGAATTTGCAAATCTTTCAAGGGACATCATCCCCAGCCAATATTCTCTGTAA